AGTCTTAAGTCTTCAGTGAAATCATAGATAAATAACTACTTTAATAATTACTCCAAAAATCAATTTAATGTAGATATTAGTACATATAAATATCAATTTTATGCAGAAGAATTTTTGGTAAAAGTAGGTCATGACAATGGAGAAAATGTTCGCCCCAGAAATTTTGTCTTTTACACCTTTAATCTAGAAAGCACGGATGTTGAAATATATGCGTCTATTTGTAAGGAAAGGCTGTAGGAAAGTATAGTTAGTCTTTATTTAGAAAATATGGATTTTGTGGATTGTTCCTGTTGGAACATAGATTGACCAAAAGGTTCTGGTGCCTATTAGCTTTCGGCCACCCCTCAGCATACATTGCTTATTGCCTGGCCACCCTTATTTTACGCCTTTGCAGAAATGGAATCACATTTTCTTTCATGTGGGCTCTTCCTGATTGCAGTTTTTTTCTTTCTGCATTGAGCTCCACCGAAAGACTCCCTATAGCCTATTAAAATTTCTTGCTTGCCCCAAGTAATGCTTTTAACAACCGCAGAAGACAGTTCCCCGCGCCACCTGGTACCTCTCAGGTGATTCAACAGACATCTAATACCAAGCCATAAAGCCTCTATTTTCAACCTGATAGATTGAGTCATTGGAGTCTACCAGTGGGTCTTCTACTGTCACCATACTAAGTATAACCGTAACCTTTGAGCTCCTGGATGCTGTATTCATGTTGGAAATCCTTAACATCATCCGTTCAACCTCCATCCCTCAAGACATGAGGGAAATATCTCTTTGAGGCTGTGGAAATATGATCCTCTGATAATTTCCTCAGCCAGACATTTCCAGCTAAATATTCCTGGGTAACTGAAAGAAACCTATCCTAGCACTGAATCCAACTCATTACCAGGTGGTAATAAATTGACATCTTCACCCTTCTTTTCACTTGAATCTTCATGACATTGAGCAAAAGTCCAATAACAAGGTTCAGATCAGAGAAACTGTTCTTCTTAATCACATGACCCTAAGACATCAGTGAGACCCGAATGGACTTAGGATTAGACAACTCTTATTGTCATTTTGTATACAGTGTAAACAAAACAAAATTTCGTTTTGTACAGCTTTCATAACATTTCCAATTCCTAAAGTACAGCACTCATCAAATGGAAACAGTGAAGGAGAAAAAAACATGGTGCACATTGATGTGGAAATTCAGAGCATTAATATATATGCTGTAATTATGCAGTGTTTTTGGTTTGGTGTTGTCAGTTTGATGCAGAGTTTGTGACATGATTTAGAGATTTCTCAACAGTTCAGCAGTCTGATGGCAATGGGAAAGACGCTGCAATGGATTCTGCTGGACCTGCATCGGACGCTTCGAAGCCTCTTCCCAGAGGGCAGCAGGGAGAACAGTCCATGGTGGGGGGGTGAGGGGTCATAGGGGGGTGAGGTGTCATTAAGGATGTTCCTGGCTAGGGACACACAGTGCTGGGTTGAAATGTCTTTTATACCTTGGGTATAAGAGACTCCTTTGTGTGCCACAGAATTACAAGATGGAAAACCTTTTAGGACCCCTTCCAAAGACTCCAAGGCAATCATGACTGCTGATAATGACTGAGCACAGACATTAGACCTTCTCAGCCATGGTGTGTTCTTACATCCAACATTGGCCCAGGCTTCTGTACCTGAGAAACTTGGGAACAGAAGACAGATGCCCTCTACAGCACTTGGGTTGCAGAGCATGAGTTGAGCTTAGATGTGAGTCCAGTTCTTTTCAGCTGGTACAGCTGAATAATGCACGACAACTGTGGTTTCTTCAATGCCATTTGGTGTAACTGCTTGTCTCTAACAGATTATTCCATTAGCATGCAACGGCTACTGGTCTTGCTCTTTCTGCCGACGGTGGGTCTGTTGAGAGGAGGCAAGAGCTTCTCTCTTAAGTGCGGTTTATTGCCCAATCACGAAATTCTCACATGACTGGAGAATCTGCCCGACTTTCAGCCTGATCATGTGTCATGTAGTGTACAGGGGGGCGTTCAGACTCTCAACACCACCTCCCCATCAGGAATCATAAGGTCGGGTGAAAAATCAATCATGTTTGAAATTCAGTCGGCCATCGTAAGGTGATCTTGGGCGAATCGCTCAGTGCGTAAACAAGGATTTTTCTTCTTCTTCCTCTCAGATGTAAACCTTGAAGCATGGCGGGGGTGCAATGAGTAACATGGAGTTCTTTCTGTAAAATTGACAGACCGTAGTAGCCGTGTTTGCTCAGCCATGTTTTGTCCAAATACGTCGTCAGCTTTTCTTTTTAGGGCTTTCAGCACTAAATTGCCCAAATAGCCAAGGCAGCGCGTTTCACTCTAGTGAGCTTCATATTCCTCTTCTACTGGTTATGCTTCTGGATAGACGAGTCCGAGTAGCGCCATCTCACTGCGGAGCTGAGTTCCACGTAGTTTTTTGGCGTACAGTGTGAGCAGGTAGATCGCATTAGAGCGTCGGGCCGCACAGTGTGAGAACAAACATTATGAGCTGTGAACTTTTAAACCCTGTGGTTTCATTGTGCGGTTTGAGCTGTAGCTGCGTGCAACGATTGAAAACAATCGCACAGCGCATGCCCCGCTTTATTCTTATCACACCTAACATGGACCCTCGGTCTTCTAACAGTGGAGTAGTCTACTTCTCAGCAATACAATGACATTCAAAGATTTTTGTTTTAATGTATTATTCATCCAAAATTGTTTCTTTAAAAATATTTTTCTTTTAAATTTGGGAAATTAAACAACAGAGACAAAGATGGATCTAGAATTAATCTTTTTGAAAATATGAAATGGAGACCCATATATAACAAAAGATCTGAAAAATATTTTATTTTAAATCGGTCAGAAAACATAAATACCTTCTACTGTTTCAGGGATCCAAGACTTTTGATTACAAATAATAATAAAAAAATGAATATATATATATAATAGCAAAACTATCTTTCACTATGTACAGTCATAAATACAAAAACAACATAAAGAAATGTATTTTATTGCTGACAATCACACATTAAAAGAGAAATATTTTTGTTTATAGTTATTTTTAGTGAAAACACCCTAAATGATTCATTTTACCTGCAGTAAACTGAAGTTTATTAACTTGGAGAAATGAAGGTTTTAGAGTTACTCACCTTCTCCCTCCTTATTGATTAATAAATACTAGAAAAAAGAAATGTCTCATTAAAATGCTTATAAAAAGTAACAATCTTAACGCTTAACTTTATTTTAGTGTCATCAGCTGATGTTCTCAGGTGGAAATGTTTGGACGGCTTCAAGTCAAAAATGGCGACAGTGAAAGGAATGGTCTGGCACTGTTCAATGAGGGAACTTTGTATAAATCTGCAGAATTAATGTCTAAAAAAACTATTTACCGTAATAAAAGGTTCTAATCTGATGATATAGTAATGCTTATGTGTACCATATCATCTTTATTTTTAAAACACTTTTAAACAGTCCAGGTTCACAAAGTGCTATATATACTGCAGATACAAAAAAAGGTTGAACCCAAAAAGTTTAAAAAAAACATCCTATAAAATATTTAGATACATTATACGGAAATTAAAAAATACATGAAAGATATTGTCAATAAAATTAAAAGAGCTAACCTCTCGGGAAATTCAAAATGCTTTAATAAAATGTATTGTTTTAAAAAAGTTTTAACTAACACAGTGATAATTGCTGTCAGAATAGATCGTCCCTGTGGCTGCAAACCTGAGGGAGCAGGTTAGTAAATATTGTTGTAGGAGCTCAGAGAGGTCAGCAGGTGCCAATTCATTGAGGGATTTAAAAATTACAAGAACGTTAAAATGGAGCCTGAAATGCACAGTTAACAAATATAGTGACCTGATAATAGAGGTGATGTGCTAAGTAATTTTCAACAATGTACTGATAAATACAAAGTTTTCTTTGTTCTGAATTAGGAGTCAGATCTAGAACAGGTTTGATTTTCTTTTAGAATGTAAAACGATGCATTAAAACAAGCAGTGCCGTTTTCATCCACTGGTCCCACACAGAATGAGTGATGAGCCAGTCTGATATAAGGTTCCTCAGGAGGATCCGGTTCAAAGGCAGGAACTCCAGGTCACTGCAGCAGATTGTCAGTAGGGGAAAGAGTGTCCGAGCCGGCGGTGCCCCTCAGGGCTCCTCTATGGGCCGATTGTTGTAGCAGCCATTAGGGATGGTTCTCAGGATCTCCTCCAGGTTAGCAATATCTGCCAGGACGGTGTCGATGTCCATGTTGATGGTGGTCAGCCGGCGGCGTTGTACCTCTTCCTGCTGCTCCATGTCCTGCAGCCGAGGCCTCAGACCCTCCTGCACTTCCTTCTCAGCATTGTTCAGAGCTTCCTCCAGCTTCCTCACCTGCTCCTCATCTACAGTGTCTCCGTTATCTGAGGACACAAAGACATCTCTCAATGGCCCAGACTGAGTAAAATCAGCACAGCATCAGAAGGCACGGCAGGCTGAGCTCAGTAGAAACCTCATGTTTGACCAGAACTGTGAGGAATAGAAAATAAGTCGTTTAGAACTTACTCAGTTTGGCCAGCATGTCGTTAACAACTTGTAGCATTTTCTGAACAGCGTCTTTGCTCTGTTTGGCATTGGTGAAGGCTGCAGCTGCTCCATCAAGCGCCTGCAATAAACACACACCTTTATATTTATGTCCACCTTATCGCGGACCGTTTGTCTTTGTTGCCAATGGTTACCTCTTGGGCATCAGCCGTCAGCGTCTCCACCACATTCAGCTCATCATTCAGGTCATCTGTCGCCTCCTCTGCCCTGCTCTTTAGATCCTTGGCCTCCTTGTTCAGTTTTTTGGCTTCATCCACCAGACCAGCAGAGGGCGGTAGTGATTCAACTGCTTTCTGGAGGGTAAAATGAAAACAAAGAGTCCTGAGCTACATAATTTCTTCAGATTGTAGAATGTCTACCTAAGTACTATTTTATTCAGTTTTAAACCTAAAGTCAATGCTAAGAAAACAAATCAAATTATTCATATGAAATTGGTATGTGAAGCCCTTATTGTTTGAATAAACCTTCTGGACTATGTCCGCCAAGGAGTCATGGTGATATTTATCATGACTGTGAACAGGTTTATTATTATTATCATGTAGTGGAGGCTGCTGCCACATAGAATAATATAAGAAAAGACCCTGCATTGTCTGTTGTGGCGCAGGAATTACGGACGCCATCTTGGGGAGGTCGACCTGCTACCCTAACCTGCTGATTTGAGGATGCTTCAGCACTTTTGTTTGAACCGACAGACTGTTGACATCAGGGCTCGAGGGATAACTTTGAGTATTGACTATATATAGATATAGATATAGAGTGTATAAATACATATATACCCTCTATATATCCATTATATTATATAAATATACACAGACGTTCCCCATTGTAGGCCAATAAAAAGGGGTTTCCTATTCTATTTTATTCTCTCTCTCTGTATACATTTATATATATATATATATAAAGAGAGAGAGATTATATTTTTTAATTTGAATTTGTTTAAAGGTCAACCAGAGTTTTAATTGAAAAACAAACAATCCTATTTTTTATTTTTTATTTTTTTTTTTGCTTTTTACCTCTCTAAAAAAATCCTAGAAAGGAGCAAAATAAAAACAATAAAAACAAAGATCAAACGCTGAGCCATGAGCACAGCTGCTAATAGCTTCCATTCAGAGGTTTTACCTGCAGTTTATTAGCCAGTTTGTCCAGAGTGTCGATATTTCCCACGGCCTTATTGTAATCCCCGGACGCTTTGTCCAGATCTGACTGCGTTACATCGTTTTTGCGAACAGCTTCCTGGATGGTGGTGTTGATGCTTGGTAGACGTCCAATGGCTTCATTAGCCAGAGCTTTGCTGTCACTGATCTGCTGGTCAAAACCTTAGAACACAAACAATGGATTTATAAAGAGATGGTTTAATCTCTACAGTGTTCCATATCAGGTTCTGCTGCATTCCACCTATAAACAAGCTGCTGTGATCCAGTTTAGAAGCTGGATCTCTAAATCTAACCAAACGGTTTTTGAAAGCCTTAAATCCTGGATAGGTGCCTTTTCCCAGTGGGTTTCCTTTAAGGACAGATATGGGATTGAAGGTTGGAGTTAATCTGTGACGCTTCAAAGACTACAAGCAAAGTTGCCACAGTCCTATTTCCTCTGACTTGTTGATCATTTTATCTACACAAGCAGAGCCTGAGGTCGACTGAAGAATAATACGCAGTTTACAATTTACACCTTCTTTCAACTATCATTGCTTAGGATGTGCTTAATGGCCTAGATTAAAAAACAAACAAACTTATTACTGGACTAGAGGCAAAGATAGTTTCTAGTGACCGGTTCTCGTAGAAGGCCCAGGAATAAACACTAAAAGAGGGTAGTGTCTCGTAGTTTCCAGCTTTACCTAGTAACGGACCAAGCCAATATTAATCGACTCCCATAGATCTTTAGAACATTTTATACCTACTGTTTAGGTTCCACTTATTTGGCTCTATGTTGTGGATTTCTGTGTAGGGAATTGCTGCTTCAGATAGGGGTTCTTAAGTTTACGGCAGAGCTGTCTTTCTGTAGAGGGTGGGGTTTCTGGACCTGCAACCTCAGGGTTTCATTCCTCCTTCATGCAGATTATGTTTTTTTCCCATCTTAAAGCTATACCATTCAGTGTGCACAGAGGGGTCTAAAGCTGGAAGGAGAGTTTGCTCCTCAATATCTGGGTTCATTGTTCTCATTCTGCAAAATCTATCTACATTCTTAAATTACGTGTATTTACCCTTAATTTTAATAAGGTAATTAAAATGATTTACCAATGGAATTAGTTTTTTTTACTTTTAAAATAAGATAATTAGATAATATTCAATTTGCATATCACAATGCAATTGCTTTTTCTTATTTTAAATGTACATTTCAAAGTGTCTCACTTTCTTCCTCAATTGAAGAAAAAATACCTTATTTAGATTTAGGTAGTGCAGATGGAGAGCTGCTACCAGCTGTGGGATGATTCCTTACTTTATCTGGAGGACTTTCAGGTGCAGAGAGATGAACATGATCTGAGCTAAGCCTGCAGTAAAACCAGTCTGTTTTGGTGAAGGATTAAGGAATATTCTCCCAGTGGAGGTTTTCCAGCTGCATCTACCAGAAAGAAAACCTGTGGCCTGAAACTGAACTCACTAAAGGAGTCAAGAACATCGTAAGGTCTCCTACATGTAGGTAGAACACACCACCTTGGTGTCCTATTTCTATAATGAAAGAGCTTTTAAAGAGGCCAGAATTTTTTTTTTTAGATGTTTAAGTAAATTAAAATATGCAATTTTGTTTTTAAAGAAGTTAAGAGAAATGTTAAACTAACGCTACAAAAACAGTACTGACACTGGTGGCATGGCTTCTGGGCTGGAATCATCTGCTAAACTTCCTCATTTTCTTTTTGGTCTTCCCAATACATTTGCAGATTAGAAGAAATATAAATTATTTATAAAACCTTTGTTGGTAGATTTTTTTTTTTTTTTTTTTTACAGTTCCTTGAATCACAACAACTTTTGTGAATCAGTTATCAGCCCTAAAACCACCCAGATCAGTATTGGCAGTTTGAGCTGAAACAACTAATTTATCTTTCTGTTGATTTTATTTTTATTATCAACTGAAGCCACCAATTGTGGTTGTACAATAAAATACATACATTTCGTCACATGCATGTGAAATGTATCCCACAGCGCCCCCTGTTGAAGAGACTAAGCTGACATCCATACCTCTCAGGGTGTTGAGGGTGTTGCTCAGGTCCTCGTCGTTGGTTCTGATGCTTTGCAGAGCCTTTTCGGTTTTGGTTTTAGCATCGTTGACTCTGTCCAACAGCTTGTTGTACTCCTGCAGAAAAAAACCAACTTAATCTGAGGAGGAACTTCTGGTCACAGACAAACAGACTCATTTGAGTCTCAATACTTTTTACTCATAATTAACCCTCATGACAGATTTATTTTTTCAGCTGGTTTCTGATTGATCTGTACCTTCTGGCCAGTTTTTCCTTTATCCAACTGGTCTTTAACGATTGTCCGTTGTTCTTGCATTTCATCCATCAGATCCTCTGCGACAGAGATGTTCCTCTGCACCTCCTCCTTCAGCCCATTCAGCTCGGTGAGCAGGGCGTCCACATCCCCCTGAGGATAAGGAAACATCTCTGGCTTAGAGACCTTTGCTGGTTAATGATCCAGATCCTGAGTTTCAGCAGCAGCTGTTACCTTCATTGATGCTGGGAGGCTCTTTTCCAACCTTGAGATGTCTTTCAGCATGTTGTTAGCCATTTTGCTTTCCTGGCTGGCATCATCACTCACTCCAACTGCCTGCTTCTCCAAATTCTTCACATCTGCAGATTTCTGATCATAACTGGTTGCAAACAGGAGAAATTGGTCAAATATCTAAATCTCAGACACAACAAAAAAAATCAGAAAAGGTTTCACTAGGGCAGTTAAATATTCCTTACAGCAGATTTAACTGATGAATTTAATCCACAGGTAGATTTTGGTATCATTAGCAAACTAATGGAGGAAGCCATATTTGCTAAAAATATACCTAATTAGCAAATAAAGAGAAGGAGAGCCATATGACTCCTTGAGTCATCCCAGCAGTAAACAGCTTAAGAGGAGCAAATCCTAAATAATAATTAAACTTTATTGATCTCACATCGGAGAAATTTACCTCTGCATTTAACCCATCCCCTTGGGGAGCAGTGTGGGGTTAAGGGTCTTTTGCTGTGGGAGTGGGGCTTGAACTCAGAGACTAAGGATTCCAAGCTCTATGCGCTAACCACTCCCCAAAACCTATCAAAAACTATACGTAATTAAATATTGAGCATAAACATTTTTATTGAAACAATGAAGAAGTGGTTACAGAATAATGATAAGAAGAGTCTGAACAGCTTCATCTTTTGATGTATTTATTCGTTAGGTTAGATGCCAACAGGAGCAACTCACAGGCTCTTCAGATCTCCAACCAGCTCTTTGACTTTGTTCTCTCTGTTCATTAGAGGTCGCACCAAATCGAGACTCTTCTGTGAGTCGCTCAGAGCCTCGTCGGCTGTCTTCTTCACGGAGTCGGCCGTCGTTTTGTGACTGGAAGATGAAACAAAGTAATTCAGCAGCGGCGATGATAATAAAGGTGAACCAGGTTTATCAGTGACGTCATGTCGGTTTTTACTTTTCAGCCAGGTCTTTTGCCAGCGGCACCAGCCGACTTAGACTGTCTGAACTCTGGGGATCATCACGAAGAGGAAGCTCCTTAAAGAAAAAAAAACAAAAAAAACAGAGGAAAACAGTCAGTAATGAATTACCTGCAGCCCTCACAGAAATATCTGATCAGCAGAAAGTCTTGTTTTCATTATTCAGCTTGTCTCAGAGGTGTTGGATTGTTATGAAAACTTACCACTGACTGGAGTTTGGCTTTGGCCCCCTCCAGTTGGTGTCTCATCTCATCCATTAGTGTCTCCACGTCCTCCACCTTGGTGTTGAAGGTATTCCGCTGCTGCTTGATTTGCTCCGCTATGTCTGAGATGTTCTGGATATTCTTTTCTTCTGTCAGCTGAGTCCTGCTGATGGACAACAGACGATCCTGCAGGCTTTTGTCTTTCTCTGTGAAACAGAAACATGAGACTTCATTAATAAAAAGGTCTTTTATTAAATGAAACTTTAGCAACAAGTTAAATAGACTGTACATATTCATCTGCAGTACCTTTAACAGCCACTAAGGGCTGCTAAAACCCAAACAAAGTGAGAAGAGGTCTAGTTTGGAAAAATAACATGATTCCTGTTACACAGCTGTATCCTGTTTAGAAAATAAAGAAAGAAAAAGAAAATGCTGAAATTCAAAATAACTTATAATAATTAGAATGTTTTTGTATTTATTCCCCCATAAAATCTGTATTTTCTTTACGATATATATTTTGCTCACAAACGAAAAGAAAGAAGAGATTACCTTACCCTGCCAAATTTATTAATAAAGCCCTTTAAACATCCAACAGGACCAACAAGCTGTACTCAATCATAAGATACACAACATCAGTAATAAAACAACTATTAAAGTGGTTTATTAAAGTAGCAGTAATAAAATAATGAAAGATACACAGTAAAGTATAGTAAACATCTAAAATTGTGTCAAAAGCCAAAGAAAAGAAATTAGTCTGTAGAAAAGATTTAAAATCAGAAAAAGAAGTTTAATAAAAATTGAAAGTTATTTTAAGGAAAACAGATCCAACTTTAAATGTTTTTTTAAATGTTGTTTTAGTTATGATTTAAATATAGAAATTTGAAACATTTGAAAGAATCCTCTGATAATGCTTCTATTCCTGAAGCATACTGTATTTCTACACGGGTAAACTAACCTGTGAGGTCTTCGCTGTTCTCCTGCAGATTCTTTACCAGCTTCTCTATCGCTTTCAGGGCCGCCTCCATCTCTGCGCCGTTTGTCAGAGTTTGGCCCGATTCAGAGAAGAGCCTCTCCAGCTCTTTAAGTTTCACAGCGTAGCCCTCCATCTGATGGTTAAAAAGAGTTAATGCACTGCTGCCCGCAGAACATCTGACATAAGAAATGCTTTTTTTTATAACTGTATAGAAAGATAAAACAAATTATAAATATGATGTAAAAGAAATCTAAGATTAAAGCAGACAAATATTGAAAAAACTCAAAATAAATCACCATGAGTCATAAAAAGGTTTTTCATTTGTTCACAAGAAGCAGTAATTATAGAACTGCTGGTCAAAGTGATAAATAACAAACTTTATTCTTTCCCCTATAGATTACATGACTGTATTGTATAAAAAATGTAGCCTTTATTCTTTGCATTACATCAATCTAAAGAGCTTAAGATTTATAAATGTTCGTGTAAAAGTTTTAGGCAAATGATTTATATTTTTAACTGGAACAAATGGATCAAAAATATTTCACTTAAATATTATATAGAGATGGAGATTTTCTTTGCTGCTTTGCACTGTAGAGTCAGTGGCTCCATGCAAACTGCTGGATTTCTTTCGATAAAAAAACTTTGAACCAATCTGACTGTTTTGTTTCTGTAAAATACTCTGAGACGACGTGTGTTGAGAATTGCATTACATACATAAACTGAATTAAATGAAATTATTTTCATAATAAAATAAATGCTTAAAAAACTATTTCAAAGACTTGATACTGTTTTCTGTTTTATAGTTCAATTTCTACAACTGATGTGACTCCAATGTACCATTTCTATTTTAATGCATTTATTGTGCTGTGGTAGAAGAATTAACAGACGTCCAAACTAATTTCTTGGAAATAGTGCTGTGAAAACCAGAACCTTTGATTTATTTAACATTTCCTCTGTACTGAAGAGATTAGATTACCTTCTTTTTGATGGGGTTGAAACAGGCGGGGCAGTTGGGTCGATCACACCTCAGGCCCTCAAAGCCTGGTCGGCACTGGCACCGACCAAAGTCGTCACACTGATCGTCATCTGAGCCCTTAGGGTCACAGTTACAGGCTGCGGAAAGAAACAGCTGAAGTGTTGGGAAACATTTCTCAGATTAGAGGTGACAGAGAATGAGATGGTCTGGATTCTGTTCTCACGTTTGCAGGCATCAGTGGATCGGTTGTGGTAGAAACCTCTCAGACAGTTCTCACAGAAACGTCCAGTGGTGTTGTTTAAGCATCTCAGGCATTCTCCGGTGGAGCGGTCGCAGCTCCTTGCCATGTTGACGTCGATGTGACCGTTGCAGTTGCAGGGTCTGCAGGCTCGCTGCACACCTTGAAGACCTGCAGGGTCGCCGTAAAAACCCTGGCGACAGGTGTCACAGTAAAACCCTGAAGGGACACATCAAACATCAACATCACTGACATTTCAATCTGCAAAGCATTTTGATTGGTTACTAAAAGCCCCATTTCTTTTCTGTTGAGTTACTTCTGGACTCACCAATGGTTCCTGGAGGACAGTGGTGACATTGAGGCTCCAGAGCTCCAGCAGCCAGAGAGCACGACGTTCTCTCTGGGCAGGGACACCTCACACAGTTCCCCTGCTGCCCTGGGTCTTTGTAAAAGCCTTCTGAGCAGCTTTGTTCGCCTGGCGTCTCATCAGCAGAATAACAGTCTCCAGTCTGGGGGTCGCAGCTGCCCCCCCTGCAGCTGCAGGGCTCACAGACGCTGAAGGATCCTGCTGATGGGACTCTGCGCCTGAACCCGGCCGAGCAGCGCTCACAGAAGTCCCCCTCGTATCCCGGAGGACATCTACAGGTCTGAACCCAGCTGGCCGAGATGCCTTCCCCACGCCGCGCAGAAACCAGGTTCACGTTGTCAAGGTAACCACGGCCTGAAGGAATGACACAATTGTAATGATGAGGAGATGGATTTAAACTGTTTCCTGTAGAAGTGCTGCTAGATGTCGTCAGCATAAAGGCTGACCCTGAATTTTGTTGACTTCAACTGACAAACACCATAAACTGAAGATTAAAACAAACACTTGTTGGTCATAAATGTATTTAAAATGCCCAAATTTTACACCTGGGTATAATTGTGCCTTTAACCCTTTAAATAAAAAAAAAGTATGTTTGAACTGTAAATATACAGTCATCTATTACATATTACAATCAAAATAATAATTTTTTTTAATGTATTTATTACTGTTTTCAAATTTGCATTTTAAAAAATGAAATTGTCTAGAGCTGTTTTAAACCAAATTTAAAGCTAAGTCTCTCTAAGTCTAACACCCAAATGCTTCACATTTTATACATGAACTGTTTAAGATCGCTACGTCATCAGTCGGATATTTGAGCACTTCAAAAACATCAAATACATGTAATGAATGGAAAATCTATAATAAATTGCAGAGAAATGAAAAATGTATCACTTATAATTAAAATAACACATCTAATATAAGTGATTCAATATGTATGTGTTTTTTTTCTTTTGTCTGAATGTTCAATAACAACTCAAGATTAAAAACTTTTTACATTTCTGACAATTATTTGATGGTTTGGGCCTTAAATTGTTAGAGTGAATGAAACATTTATATCCGTTTATATAAATGATATAAATGTATCATGTTTAACAATCTAAAACAAACAATGATTCAAAGGAAGATGCTTATTTGCATCAAATTATATTCAATAACTATAAAAAACCAATTTTGAAATAATTTATTCAAAAATGATTTAAAATGTAAACCATATTTTTAAAAAGACGATAATTGTGAATTAAAAATAATAAAAGCAAGACAGATCTTTAAAATATTGTTGTAAAGTTAATATATAATCAACTAAACATCAATCAAACAATCGTTTCCATACCCCCAATGATTACAAATACTGTGGGATGATTACGTCTCATTATATATTTATAGCATAAATGTTTGATTCTTTTCTTAAAAAAAATAAAGGGTTTTACCATTTTCTCCAAACGTGGCCCGGATCTTTATGGCTGTAAGGTTCTGGAGGAGTTTCTGGAACTCAAATGCTGAAAGTTGAGGTCTCCATTTGCTGCTTAGCTGCTCATCAAGCCTGTTCAGAAGAACAAAACAAAAGTCAAGCTGTGGAAACTGTTTTTGAAGCTAAAGCTCATGAGACAGTCTGCTAAGGCCCTTCATCAGTCGTCACATTAAACCTGCAGAACAAGAACAGATTCAACCGGTCCAGTTTTTGCTGCCTCAGTTCATTTTTTTTACATAATTATAAGATATCTGGAAGTTATGGTACCGCTTAGAATCTTTCAGAATTAAATGACCCTTTCATGGGTTTAACGAAAAGAACATGAACATTGTGTGTTTTCCAGGGAGAAAAGCCAAAATAAACATAGTTTCTACGTGTTTCAGCAGGTTAGAGTGTTTGGATTCCTTAGCTCCGGCATGCTTCCACTGCTGTGAAAAAGGTTTGGATTAGAATTCACAATGAGTTCATGTTGAAGGCATTAGAAACCAATGAGGCATTACAAAACACTGTTTTAATACCCTGTGTGTTTGGCCTATCACACACAGGGGGTATTAATACATGGAGAAAGAAGTAAGTGGACAGTTTTCTGACCTGAAGGTGTAGTGAATCTTTTTCCCACATGGGACGATGGACCTAAGGTCGCCCAATGAGGCAGCCACTCTCAAACCGGCCCCTTCCAGGATCACATCAGTTGTGGACGGGTGTCGAACGCCGCGGTCCAAACGGAGTGAGAAGGAGAGGTTCTGACCATAACTCAGTAGTTTATTTCCCAGGTAGGACACTGCAAGACAGGAGAGAAAACATCTGGTTAGATGATTAGAGGGGGAAACAAGAGAGACGAGGAGCAGAGCTAGTCTCACCTGGTGCGTAAAGGTAAGTCGGCAAACTTTGTTTGGAGATCACCTCCAAGTCCTGGTGTTTGGGTGACCAGCGGAAGAAAACATCTGGAGGAGTCATACCATGAACCGTCGCTGCTGTCCAGCCATCTGGCCCTGAAACACCAGAGAAACACCTGGTTAACCCAGAAAGAGGCTTTAATTTTATCATGGGGAGTGGGTAAGTGTGACATTACCTGTACTGAAGGTGGAGGAGATGTTGTAGATGGAGTAACCAGGCTTTGCAGAACACTGCTCACTGTGTCCGTAACAGAAACACGACGAAGTCAAACTCCCAGAATCCTCTCTTTCCTGACGTCTGAAAACAACCAGCAAGATGTTGATGTGAAAGAGAAACAAGAACTGTGTCACTAAGAAATAGATGTCTGAAATAAAAATCAAGATCTAAATTCCTTTAAAAATGCATTGTTTGGCACCTATTCATTGTGTTTAAACCTGGAGAGAAGCTGTGTTGACAAAGAATAAATGTTCCTACACATAAAACATGAACAGTTACATCTTCTGGACCATTAATCTAATGAAAAATATTAATTCCATTTTAATTTTTTCTCCCAGTTCTGTGTTTTTCAAAAAAATATTTATTTTCCTCTTTAACCTACTGTATTTTTCCCTTATTTAACACAAAATCCAAGCTTCTGCGCTGAACGCACTGGGTGCTCACTGTGGTCAGTTTATTAGATTCTGTTTAACATTGAAAATGCTGCCACCTCCTGGAAAATAAAGCTATGTCAGACATTTGGAAACAAACTGTTTTACAATTAATTGTATATTTTCGGATAAGATTTAGTTGAAGTAGTTCTTAATATCAATGGAAGAGGGCAAATAAAAACCTCCGTAGAGTAAACATATAAAATATTTTTTAGTTTCATGGCTAGAGCCCATTTAGTCACCTTTGTCTGCAGCCGTTCGGCCCCATCGGTCCATCGGGGCAGCGCTCACATTTGTCCCCACTGACTCCTTCCTTACAGCTGCAGCGCCCCCTGCTGTCGCATGTATCACTGACAGACCCTGTAGACAGAAAACACTCTCAGACCTTTTTTCAAATGTGCTGACATCACACGGAGGGGTGTGTCCTCACCTGCGGGGTTACAGCTGCAGGGCATGCAGCTCTGTCCCGCCCCCTGCTGGTAGAAGCCGTCCTTGCAGCGCTCGCAGTGTCGGCCCTCAGTGTTTCCCTCACAACCCATGCAGTAGAGACCAAAGGCATCCCGCAGGCAGTACCGGGCCTTGCCGTTACATTCACAGCGGAGATTTGCTGCAGGATGAACAAAAGATGGAAAGTCATGGTGAAGATTCTCAGTCATCCAGGTCATAGTCATTCCAAAAAGTTAAAAAACAGTCCTCTGGGCTTTGTTTCCATGTTTAAAGACAACAGATTAATTTAATGACATAGACAGGTATGGGGCATTGCTGGCTGACAAAGAAACCAAATGACCCAATTCCAAAGGGGTGGATCCATTCTTCTGTTTCTATTTGCATGATTTCTAAACAAAATCTTTTCAAACTCAACGCTATTTCTCACATTTGAATTGAAAAAGCTTCCTGAATCGGAAGCCAAACGTCTTTAAACTTGGAAACAAAGTGCAGTGGATTGTTTTTTTTTATTTTTATTTACTTTTTTGTAATCATAAAGTGGAAAGTTTCCCATTTGAATGTGAGCAGAGGAACAAGATCTATGTGGTTCTTGTGGTTTAAGGGGCTGGAAACAGTGAACTAAAGCTCTGCAGATAAATCCCACTGACCAAACTTCTGGTCTAAGGAAACACCTCAGAGTTCAGGGGTTATCATCAGATCTGACCCATGGTCAGATCTCTAGCCTGCTAACACATCCTAAGATAAAAGGACACATCAACAACATTTCATTTAGAAAGTGAGAATGAAGAGAGAAGAGGATGAGAGGGCCTGCAGAAACATCTCCTCACTTCATGTTTTTATATCTGTTCCACACGATGAAGCAGAAAGTTCCTCAGCAGCTCTGATTTATGGGCTGAAGTCTCACTAATATGATGCTTCAGTGGAGAAGTCTGCTTAAATTTAGAATTCAAACTTCGGAAAGAACTTCAAATATGAAATTATTACACACTGTTCAATAAATGATAAGTATTTTTAATTAAGAGTCATTTTCATCTGAATGTGCTTTACTGGAGGCATCCATGTTTGTCAAAGAACACTACTGCCACCTACTGGTTAGTGACGTCACGGTGCGGTATCGGCTGTTGATCAAGTCCCAGTGCTGTATCTGGTGTTTGTCACAACGCGCTATTATCCAAGTCATCTTTAAAACATTCTTCTTCCAAATGTTGGCTACATATTACGTGTTTTTTCACTGGCCAGAAGTTTAATGATAGTATCCCAACATCCAGCTGCCATGCACGTGGACATTGTCAGTTTCACTATAGCTCTGGTGATTTTCAATGGTGAAGTCCTCTGGAAATCTTCAATAATTGTTGTTGATTGCAGATGTGTCTAGTAGTTCACATTGATTTTTGCTTGTAAAGCGGGGAGAATGGCGCTAGGCGCGCCGTGACGTCGTTAGGGGTGCTGATGCCTATCTCTATGGGTGAGAGGCGGGGTACACCCTGGACAGGCCTTCAGTCCATCGCAGGGCAGAACTGGATTCATTAAAGTTAAAATATTAGTTAACAGCTAAGGGGAGTTTATATTTAAGAATTTAAAAATGGTCTGCTTGATCAAAGCCAAGAACATCTAAAATATATTCACACTTTAGCTGGGAAGCTGCTTCAAGGTGTGCTTTGACCTTTAACCAGTCATGATGTTGGTACTTTCTGTCAGTGTTGTGCCTGAACGCGTTCATTGAACGAAAGTTCATGAACTCGTTCATATTTTGGGCGAACGTGAACTGAACGTACTGTATTACTGCCTGATGAACGTTATTGTGAACTCGTTCATTCTGGCGTCTGTGAACGGCACGCTCTCTCAGTTCAGCTCCGTTCAATAGGTTGCCAGATTTCTATAGAGTCCTCCAGGTGAAACCCCGGCTAAATCACACCGTAAACAGGCCTTAATATGTAGCGGGAAAAACACCCAATCTGGCAACACCAGCTACTAGTGTCGTAGCCTACAGCCGCGTGCGTCATCAAAACAAAATGCAGCGGAAAGCAACAACAGCATGGAGGCTACCGTGGAGGCGACAAAGCAGCAGTATGATCACTTAAAACAGTTTTATGACCAGGTGGTCGGTGAGGATGAAGGCAACAATCTTACATTTCTCTACAAACTTTGCCCGCCGGCTTTCAGTAAAAAAATCCACCCTTCAGTAACCTGGGGAAATCTGTCCCCTCAATGCTAATGTAAACCCTGGTTGGATAAGGATTCAAAACTGGATATGAAGATGAAATCTGACGCACAGTTTCAGTGTTACAACTGATAAAATAATTGATGTCTGTGGTTCTACAGAAGGCTATGATATAATTGAGCAATATATGAAAAAAAAAGAACTATGAACTAGTTCATTTTTTGGAACTGTGAACTTAGTTCAAAATTTTGAACTATGAACTATGAACTGAACTAGTTCATTTTAAAATGTGTGAACTGAACTTTGAACTAGTTCACGTAGAAAGAGAACTTTCCCAACACTGCTTTCTGTTGTATAAGATCTGCTTAAATACACTGAACAGAATTAAATGAACAAAAATAGATTAGTTTTAAAACCTAAAGTTGAAACAATGAAATATGTTTATCTTTCATCACAAGCAGCCAAGCTTCATCATCCTAAACTAATAATGAAACATTATCTCTGAATCTTAAAGTGATGCCATAGAAATGAACATTTCTAGACATAATTATCTTTACTAAGTAATTAGTGGTGTAGGTAAAAGAAAAAATATGCTCATTATAAATAAGGCGGATTCATAAAGGAACCCTCAGGGTTTGACCTTTCCTCCTGGAAAACCAGCAAATTCTGGGTTCAAATGAGGGCAAACTAAAATTATTTTATTTTCTGAGACAATATTTCAGATTTAAGGTGAGCCTGATAAATAAAAGCAGCTTTAAGTCTCTGAATCAGCCTGAGTCCTCAGGTGAGTTCAAGGTGTGTCTGTCTGAGGACGCTCTGTGATCACTGTGATTCAGCCGACCCAAACAGATCAGAGGAGGACGTCTAATTCCCCCTGACTCACTGACTGATAACAGTTCCCCTGAGGAGATGAGCTCAGGTGTTGTGTCTCAAGCCTTTTGACACGCAGCCTGAACCAACTCAGAAAAAAAAGATTCCATAGCTCGGGTCTGAGGCTGTTTTTATCGCCGGAGGGACCAATAAATACCGGCCACACCCAGAAGCAGGCCTGCAGATTTACAGAAAGCTTTATCCTGAATCTAAAACTTCCTTTGAGCTGGAAAGACATTACGTGAAGATGTTAAAGAATAACAACTGTTTTAAACCCATAAAGGGAATGATCTATAATTTTTCTCCTTTATCTTCACAAACAAAGAGAAAATTCACTTTTCCTTTCAGGAACCATAAACTGCGTCTGAAGCCAGGTGAGCGTTTCTTCGTTGAGTAACCGGGACACACCCACATGGAGAAGAATGTGTTCTCATTACAGCAGGAGAAACAGAACAGAACCACCTCTGAGGGAGCAGGTCAGGAACAGGGGATGATATAATTAAACAAGCAGAGAGCAGATTGAAAGTTTCCATTTCTTCGCTAAGAATTCCTTCTAGTTAAAAATCCTTCCCTCTGAAACACGTCTGTCCCCTATTTCATGTCAAATCCTGAGATCATTGACTGATTCTAGTCTGGCTAATCTTCTAACACTGGGATTATACTCCTATGATGTCAGACGCTTATTACCAGGATATATCATAAAGTCTGGGGTCAACAGATGAATGGAGAATCTGTTTCTTCTCCATTAAATCAAGGTTCTGGTTCCAGCTTTCAGATATGTGGTTTATAAACTGCTCATAAATCAAATGTATCATGGCTGTAAAAAAAATTCTTTTGTTTTATCTAATTTAGCCCACATGCAGACAAATGAGGAAAAGGGATGTCAGCTTTTCAGTTTTACCACCATGAAGTAAAACTTGGTGGAAAAATCATCAAAATCCATTAGGCTCACATTTTTTCATACCCCAGAGAGGTTTATTTCATGTTTCCTGTGACTCATCAGAATCAAGCAGGGAGCTACAGATTAAGGTGATGGTTAGGAGAGCGAGAGCAAGGAGGTGAATAAATAAATGATGCAGAAATATAAATAAAACAGATAATTATTTCTAAACTGATCTGTTATTTTATGACATTTAACTGATTTCTGTCTCAGGTCCAGTTAGAACCAAACTTTTTGGTAAATGCTAAATGGTAGGTACTTATGTAGCCCTTTAAAATCATGAAACTTGACCAAAGATAGTTTGGTCATTCACCCATTCACTCACACACTGATGGTGGCAAACTACATTGTCACCACAGGCTGCCGTACACTGGAACCACAGTCCCTGGACCACCAGTCCCTCGGACCACCACTTGCACAAGGACACGACACTGAAAGCTTGAGCCGGGGCTTGAACCAACAACCCTCCATTGCAGGGCAAATGCCACTGTTTTTGCTATGATAATATAAGATCAAGTCTGCCCGTATGAATATTTTTGCACCTAGCTGGATGCTCTGCATCGATCCAATCAGATCTGATCAAACCAGCCTGGTTTGATCAGATCTGATTGGGAGGAATGTTGCAGAACCTTTTTGTTTTCATGCTTCCAGTTCTGACCCAGAAACTGGACTCTGCTGACACCCCACAGCAGGATGCCATCACATGTGAGGGTCTCCCTGATGGTCCTGCTGATCCCCACTGATCACTCTGACTTAGTGAGATGTACCTACACTGGTTCTGGTGATCCAGCTGCTTGTTTCCCTCTCTCTGCATGATGACCAACCTGGATCTGAACCGGAACCCCTCTGCTCCCAATATTTATGTGTCACATCTCTCAGACAGCATCTAATTCCTTCCCTCATCTTTTCAAACAAGTAAAGATTTTACTGTTACATGGTTCTCTCCCAGTTGTATCATCACTGTTGGACCAGTCAGGAAGCAGAACAGACCACAGAGGTAGAACTCTAAGCTCTGCGGCTGATTTCTCTGTTTCCCTAAGTCATGTGTCAGCACATCTATCTAATTCCTCCCTAACACGTCTTCTAACCGCAGCAGTGAAAAAATCTGACCCTGAGGGCAAGGCAGCTCCTGTCTGACGGGCTGAGGTGGGGCGGGGTGGCAGCCTCGCCCATGGCTGCCTCCCTCCCTGCTGAATAGAAGACCTAGCTGTGTCCAGAATCTATCAGTTATGAAATCTAAGGTTAAAAGCTGCAAAAAGATCCTTTCAGCTGCCTCACGTCTCAGCAGGGAAGTTTTCAGTTAGATGGTCAGTTTGGAAAAAGAGCCAAAGTCAAAAAGAACCTTTGTAATCTCACTACTTTGAACCAAAAAAGCATAAGATTATGCCCATCACAGGAGTTGAATAAATGTGGTAAAATAAAGAAAAATGCTGCTGAATTCATTTTAAAATCAGTGAGATTTGCTGAACTAACCCTGTAGGACTTAAATGATCTGCTGCTAGCACCCTGATGCAACCAACGGCAGATGGAGTGCGTGGTTCCCCTTATGTTGGGGGGGCCAACATGTTATCAGGCAGGTAGTCAGAACTTCCAGAATGTCCCTCTTTTCTTTATGTCTCAACTAATGTGTCTGCATAAACCTTTGATCCACTTTCTTTTGTTAAAGATTCTTAAGAACCTGTTCATCAATATATGGATCTGAGGGTTCTGAGATTAGCTTTGAGCTGAAGGTGTCACCTCTCTGATTGCTCACAGAGAATCAATAACAGAAGCTGGGTAATCCTTGTCTTCAGCTGCATCCCATCCTTGCCTCACAGACCTCTATCATTTCAATCAGTCTGACTTTAATGGAAACCTGTGCTATAAGTCATGCACTACCTGCTTCAGATTCATACCTGCATCTGAAGGAATCAATCTGACTTCAACCAGTCTTAGAGACAAAGTAAATCACTTCAGCAGCTTTCTTTGAATTAAAAAAAAAAAAAACCCTACAAAATTTGCTCTCCTTCTTTGCTCAATATCAGGAAAATAAAACCCATATTTGACTCTAAACGTTTTACTGACCCGAAATGATCTTGCTTTGAATCATCCAGCTGTTAAAAACCAAACTGTTCCCATCAAACAAAACTGACCCCTGCTCTTCCTTATTGCAGTGATGCTGCTATCTTTTCTGACCCCCACTGTCACTGGGTTTAGTTCTGATAACCTGAAGGTATCAGTTGGGAGGCTGAGAGCCACCTTTGATAAATAATTAGCAAAGAGACAAAGTCCAGCTCTCCACCTTTTCAAGAAGAACTGCCTATTTTCTTTTGTCAGGTTCTGATCTTTCTATTCATCAGAACGGATCAGCCTCACCTAGAACTGCTTAAGGCTTCTGGTTCTGATGCCTGATCTCCTTCACCAGAAAAGATTTATAAAAAGCTGTGATCATAGGAGAACGTTTCTGTAAAAAGGAAAGGCAAATCAAACCTAAACAGTAATAGGAGGTCCAGGTACTTACAGTAGAAAGTGTAGGTGGTCTGGACCGAGCAAACTGCTGCCAATATCCCACAGAGCGAAATCCAGCTGCTCTTCATGTTGTTTGAATCCTGAAGTCAGCTGTGCAGAGAATCTGTTGGAGTCTCTGTGAGCTCTGCTTTTTAACAGCCCTCCTGTCCTGCAGCAGGTCTGAGCATGCTGCACACTCTGCCTTCCCTTACTCACATGTGATTCACAGACACACACAGAGGCAGAGGAAATGACGGCTGTGCGGGGAATCTTCCATCACATTTCCATGTTCACCATGCAGAGACAGAGGCTCTTAGACCCCATTCTTCTTGAGAATATGGTCTCTGTTTCAGACGGAAAGGAAGATTTCTGATATAAGCCTGTCTCTGTGCAGCTGAGTGCTTCAGGAAGTCCAGATAAAACCTCCAATAAATCACCATAAAGATATTACCAGCCTCTGTGGTGCCTTATCTGTCCTGGTTTTCCAGGTTTAATGATGAAGGAAGAAGATGGATGTTGTAATAAATGGCAACAAGAACATGAAAAGATGACAAAACACAAGCAAAAACAAGAATAATCTGAGGTATAACATCACAGAAATACAGGAAAAAATATATGGAATTTTAAGCAAACTTACTGGGATGAATAAATGAAACAAAGATATAATTTTGACTTAGTTCTGACAATGTGACCAAAGTGGTTAGAATAGCTAGAGGTGTTTTATCTTATTTGAACCTTCGTCTCCACCCTGTAGTTATGAATGTTTTCATGTGTAAACTGTGTCCTGCAGGCACGACACACCCTGAACCTCAGACACACTCTTACTCACGCACACTCACACTCACACCCTGTCAGCTCCTGTTCCTCATACATACAGCGTCACGCCCGATTTGCTGCAGTTGCCAAGCCGACACCACACCTGAACACACTCACACCTTATCAGCAGCTGACTGGATCATTTCAGTTTAACAACTGCTTATTACTGAACGTTTCTAAATTTAGTTAAAACCAAGATTTTCTGGTTTATTAGGTTTAGATGTCTTAGTGTAAAGGGTAGTCAATTCAATTCAATTCAGCTTATTTCTATAGTGCCAATTGGGGATATATTTTATTGCATATTGCATATCCCAGTAAATCTGTTTCACCTTTAAATCTGCAGCTCTCCCTATTTCTCTCTGTGCTCTGTTTAAAAAAGATTGAGGAACCTCTTTACTAATATAATGATGCCATAAACAAAATTTCAAGATATGTAGAAGCTCTGCACAGTTAGGTGCACCCAACACCAGTTACTGTTGGCTAAAGTAAATGAGCAGAAAGGAGGAGAAAAGCGGAAATTATTGGTGGCGAATGTCCCCACCAGGCCAAAGTTGGTGGGGACAGGTCCACACCAGTCCTTCAGAAAGTTACACCTGTGGTCGAGGAGTTTAATCCCTTTAAAACACTATAAAACATAATATCATATTTTAATAATATATAATAATAATATATTTTATAATATAAATCACTACAGATACAATAGGCCTTCAAAGTGCTTTTCCTGCTCGGGCCTAATTACAGCCCTCATCATTCCCCACAGACTCATCAAAAATACCATATGTTATTTCATCCCTGCTGAAAAAAGCCAAGCTTTGGGGCACCTCTTAGTGTAACAATAGATCACATATATGTCATGATGTGGTAGGTTTACTAGCCCAGATGCAGAACTCACAGAACACACAGGCAGGTTAAAGTCCAATATTTATTGGAAACACACAGGGTTCTGCCCTGGAAGGCAGAGAGGACAGAGCAGGTTAGGTTCTGGTACAGGTTTACAGGTTAACAGACCTTCAGGTTCTCAGGTTCAGACAGGCAGGGTTAAACAGGCAGGGTGGCTCAGGTTTGCTTCCATGGCAAGGACAACAATCCGGCTCAGAGGGAAGCTCTCACTTAGCTTATATAGGGAGAGCTCTTTAATCAGCAGATAGGGATCAGCTGCTTCTAATGAGCACCAGCTCTAAGGAGAAGATCCACGGCGCCCTCTGGTGGGCAAGCCTCTGGATCCCAACAGACAGCAGAACCCCTCAGAAAGGGATCCACATCGCCCTCTGGAGGGCAAAGCTCTGGATCCCAACAATATATACCATTCATATACAGCTTTTTCTTTCAGGAGGCTTCTAGAGGACTGCTGTTGCAAAAACAAGGGGAGAGGTCCATCTCAGATCACATTAGTGATTTCGACCCTCTTGCTGCAGATGGTC